CACTTCTTGGCGCATGGCGGCGCTAGTCTCGCAGGGGCGGTGGTAGCTTGCTCCCCCGCCGTCCGGGGGTGATGGGTAGCAACTGCTGGTGACTGTACATAGGCGCATGAGTCTGTCTGATGCAGAGTCTCCCCCGTTCCGACGTTTCCATCCGCAGGATTTCAAATCCTTGTCCTCCACGCCGCGACCCCTTCTCCGGGCTGGACAGGCAACTTTATCTCATGCAGGCGGCTCCCATTAGAGCGCACCGCAGCTCCTAAGGGAGCTCACCCGTAGCCGGGTGCAGTGAGTACTTAGGGGGGGGGGGGCTGCTGGTCGGCCTGTCCTGACGGGGGGGGGGGGGGTGCGCTCAGCCCCAGTGACTCACTAGGGTGCCTGCCCAGACACCAATGTCTCCCCTAATTTCTATCACCCTCCCGGCTCTGCAATGGTCTCATTGGACCGAAAGGACCTACCGCCTAACCCAACAAAATAAACATATAAACGATGCGGAGTTTAATGAAGGGCGGCGGCTCTCATCATGCCACGTCATCAGAACAGGTCGGTGTGCGCCGAGGGCCGGTGTAAAATCATAGCAGCCTTCAAGGACCCGTTCGACAATCAACAGGCCCGCTGCAATTGAGCACGCCACCGCGTACCTGCAGCAGCTCAAGGGGTAGCCCGGGACGGGCGCTTTTGTCGGAGCGGCTCTGCATGCGTGCAATGGATGACGTGGACCATCAGCACCGAACAACGAAGCATGATAAGGATCCAGATGGATAAGGATGCAGGTGGAGCACGGATGGATTAACCACCCGTGCTGGAGTTAAATTTTATTTACACAAGGTTGATTGGGAGTGACTGGGTTGATCGCATCCGGCAGTTCTTTTTTCTTTTTCTTTCGAAAACTGCTTAATCACCGAATTTTAGATAAGCAATGCCTACATCGAATCAGTGATGTCGACTTTAATTGTAATGTGACGAGATTGAATGTCTCGTGTTCAAGTCCATATCTAACGTCCAAATACGTAAGGCCTTATCGAAATTGAATGCCCCTTGCCGGAATGATGCCTGATATCGATGGGTGTGCCCGATGTCAAAGTAGAGCCCATATGACAAAACAAAATGCCCCTCTCTTCGAAACAAATGTGAGATCGCTAAAATCGAATGCAGTTCGTCGAACTGGATTGAAAAGATGCCTATTTGAGGTGCAAAAAGGTGTAGTTCAATACTTAATATAAGGAGTGTAGCTACCCTATTAAAATTATCGCAAGTAGATTGGGCCAGTGCGTGGTTGCGGAGATAGGTATAAGCTTCGCAAAAGCGTGACCACGGCCGGCCGGCCGGCCGCTCATATTCAGAAATTTCTGCTATTCTACGTACCTAAGAAATCGCTCGCTCCGCTCGCTCCGTAACCATTAAAACGTCTTTTGGAGCGACGAACGAGCGAGCGTAAGGATGAGCCTTGCACGCGCGGAGTTGCGAGGGGGTATTTCCAACTGACATGTGCACGGGACCCTTCCAACCAGTCTCTCTCTCTAGCGATGCGCCAAATTTGAACGCAATCGGCCCAGTTGTTCTCGAGATCTGAAAGCGGCCCCTGCACGTGCGCACTTGCAGCAGCACCCCAAGTGTGGCACAGGGAAATGCATTGCCTAATGGGTGCCTACCTACATGCAAGTTTCAGCACAACCGGCCCAGTAATTACCTACCGAGATATTGCAATTGTTACAAAACTAACGCCTCCTCGGTTTGCCCGTGGCACATCCATAAGAGGTCACCCTCATGTATGGAAAATAGTCCAATACTTAGTAGAAGGAATGAAGCTACCCTTCGAAAATCACCGCAAGTAAATCAGTCAAGTGTTTGCTGAGACATAAACTTCGCAAAAGCGTTACCACGGCAGACCGGCCGTTCATACTCAGAAATTTCTGCTATTCTACGTAAGGCTTCGCTCGCTCAGCTCGCTCCGTAAAAATAACTGAGTTGGGTTCCGGGTAGACTACTGGCAGCGTACCCTGTGCTCGCCAGTCCTCTCACCACCAGACCGACACTGCACTACCAGTAGCACAGGCGAATCACATTGCTACCCGGTACAGTTATGTGCACCATTCTCTTTTTGCACCCACCATCTCACCGTCCACCGTCCCAACGTGCAGCGATGTGCACCAGCCTTCTTAGTAACTTAATACAATAAAGCAACAGCACCGCACCTCATCAGCAGCTCAAACTAACCCACCGCGCCGCGGGGCGTCCATTCGCCGTCCGGGACTGTGGGATCGACCGCCCACGGGGCGTGTTCTGAGCTCCGCACGTGTCCCGCCAGGTGATCACACGGACCGAGAAACAGTGTCGAAGCAAGTGGCTGAACAACCTCAACTGGAAGACCATGGGCGGGGACGAGTGGACCCGTGATGACGACTACCGACTCATAGACGTGTGAGCACCGCCGCCGCGGGGTCCGGCCGTCGCCCAGCCGCTGCGTTATTGCGTTCCGTGCATATCTCTGACACATTTTATCAACAATATTGCGGGGTACACGTAGTGACGTGACTTTCACTAAATATGGAATGCGTACGCTCTGGTTAGGACTTTCAAGAAGTTTACTGTTTCGTGTTTTTTTTTTCAATGTGGGCTTCTGAGTAATGACCAATATGTTTCTTTTTCTACGTTCTACCGTAAGAAAGTTTGATCGTAGGAGTTTTTTTTTCGTTTAACGTAACTCGGTAGTGAAGTGACTTCGACAGTAGTGCGCCTCTGTGCCACCGTACGCCCTCCCGGGCTGTTATGGCCGCATCTCAGTGCGTTTACACCACTGTGCGCCCTCGCAGACTGTACGAGCTGCAGCTCAGTGAGGAGGGCGACGTCGACTGGACAGCCGTGGCCGACGACTGGCCGCGCAACTCTGTCCGCTCGCCGCAGTGGCTGCGCGGCCGCTGGTGGACGCTCAAACAGCAGTTCAAAAACCACCAGAGGCTCGGCTTCAGAGGTGAGCCGCCCGGGGGAACCCACGGCGTCCCACCGGGGAGTCTGATACACAGAGTGCACTGACGGAGTTACACATACAATGCGCATCCTCTCGGTAAGATCGACAGTGCGGCATCCTCTGGGGTTCTTTGGGAGGGTAGAGGGAGTATCACGCCGCATCCTCTGGGGTTCTTTGGGAGGGTAGAGGGAGTATCACGCCGCATCCTCTGGGGTTCTTTGGGAGGGTAGAGGGAGTATCACGCCGCATCCTCTGGGGTTCTTTGGGAGGGTAGAGGGAGTATCACGCCCCGCCGTTGGTGCGCCACAGAGGTTCGTCTGTTGTCCACTCCTCACCGGTCACCGAAGGAGCGAGGATGTACTGTCGGCGACACACGGGCTCAGTTTTCAGAACGTTCCAGCTCGACATATGGAGCTTCTGTACTAATATCAGGGGCTCACAATTCCTTGTATCCAGCCTTCTCCGAGGCTATGTTTTCATTGCGCACATAGACGTAATATACCAGTAAAACGCCTTTTGGGCGAAGAACGAGCGAGCGAGATAGTGAGCCCTGCAGGCTGCACGTGCGGAAGGGCGGGAGGGTACTTCCAACGGGCTTGCGCAAAGCACCCTTCTAACCGGTCGCTAGCGGTGTACCAAATTTGAACGCAATCGGCCCAGCCGTTCCTGAGATCTGGAAGCGGCATTCTGCACGTGCGCACGTGCAAACGGGGTCCAAAATGACTCTTGCACGGCACCCTACTAACTGGTCCCCAACCGTGTACCAAATTTGAGCGCGATCGGCCCAGCCGTTCTTGAGATCTGGAAGCGCCCCCTGCACGTGCGCACGCGCAGTAGCACCTTAACCGCAACACTTGGGAATGCATTGCCTGATGGGTGCCTACCTGTATGCCAAGTTTCAGCGAAATCGCCCCAGTAATTACAGAGTTATTAAAATGGGAACAAATTTGACACCTCTTATTGTTGTATTTTGCACGTGCACTGGGGATGACCTACATGCACCGAGAGTATCCTATTTTTGGAAGAAGGGATGCTGCTACCCTACAAAAATTACCGCAAGTCAATCGCCCAAGCGGCTGCTGAGATATGAGCCTCTCAAAATCACTACTTTTGCAAAACAGCTTGATCACCCTTGACTTTTCACGTGGCACGTGCCACGACGGTCACTGAGATGTATCAAAAGTAGTCAATTACGGGGTAGAAGGGATGGGGCTACCCAGCAAAAAAGACCGCAGGCCAATCGGTCCAGCGGTTGCTGAGATATAAGCCTCTCAAAAGCGTTACAGGCCGGGCCGGGCTGGGCCGGGCCGCTCATACTGATATTTTTCCGTTATATTGAAAAGACTCACTTCGCTCGCTGCGCTCGCTCGCTCGTAATAACGTTAGTACACACACGGAGCCCAAATCTTCGGTAGCCAGTATCTCAGATCATGCCGCTCGTCAATTAGATATCTGCTCGCGCAGAGCTCCAGGGAACTGCCGTAATGTGGTTTTATCTGATAGCGCAAGCCGTTTATCGTTCGTTATGTCTACCGAGATGCTGTTGCATGCGTATTTGCCGAATGATAATGCGATTCATGCGTAGTCGTTTCCAAAGTGCGGCGTAGAATGGATCATTCCTAGGTGAAATTATAGTAATCGCAATTGGCATTACTTGAGCGGATTTTCTTTTAACAACTAGCGACAGTCACCTTTTAAATGATTTGCATCTTCTCATTTCCGTTGCTTTCTACGATGCAAACAATGTGATCCGTGTGTCTCGCTATGTCCCCCAGTCCCACGCTAACTGCAACCACTGGTGGTATCTGTCCGACAGAGGTGCTGAGCGGCCTGCGCGCTCGGAGGGCGCTCGAGCGGCTCGACCCTCAGCGGGACTCGGACGAGCAGACCGGCGCCGAGGACAACCCCTCGCCGCCGCCGCCGCCGCCGCCCCCGCCCCCGCCCGCGCCGGCGCCTCCTCAGCCGCCGGCGGCGCCGCCCCAGCCGCTCATCGCGCCGGGAGCCCGCGTCTTTGTCGACCAGGAGGGCAGAGGTAGGCTCAGCTGCTGTGAAGGAAGACTGCGATATGAGCTCTAACTTTCAATGTTCATCTGTCATTTTCTCTTTGCGCTTGTCAATGTCTAATGTTTCTTGGAGGCACTTTCTCCAGGACCCAGTCGTACTCACGCCGTCCCTAGTCCGTCCCCAGTCCCCACCTGACTTCCCGTCCCTCTCTGTTTATCCACAGTGATCCCGGGCGGCTCAGTGTCTGTGGTGCCGGACGACCCGGCCGCCCAGTACGTGGTCGACCCGCTGGCCGAGGTGGGCGCCTACGCCGGCGGCGCGGCCGTGATGATCGGCGGCCAGCTGTACGCCACTCTGCCGGGCGTCTCCCACCTGCTGGTGCACGGGGACCAGGTGGTGGTGGAGCCCACACCGACAGCGCTGCTGCACCACGCCACAGGTACGGACCGGGCCGGGCGTGCAGGGGTCCGCCGCGGCCCCTCTGTCTCAGACACTCCAAACTGAGGGTTCTGTCTGACACGGACTGGGAGGGAATTGAGGGAGGGTGTCTAACGTGGCGACCCCGACTAACAGTGCTGATAGAATTTCTGGGTAGTCTGGCTCGGGCGTGGAGGATTAGAAGCAGGGATGCGGAGCCGGAGCCGGAGTCGGAGCCGGAGCCGCCGGAGCCGGCATATTTTGCCCGGAGCCGGAGCCGGAGCCGGAGCCGTGAAACAATATAGCCCGGAGTCGGAGCCGGAGCCGGAGCCGCCAAAAAAGGGGGCGACTCCGGCTCCTTTTTATTTTTTGAAGAGGAAAAAAATAATTGACCTAGTTCGGTTTGACAGTACAAGGCAGTAAAATATATGGTACTTACGTCATGGGCCATCAAGTGAATGAAAAAATCCGAATATCCCCAGTATTCCACAGTACGCAAACAACTTCCTGTTTGCTCTTCCCCCCCCCCCCCCACGTCTACTGCATCCCCAGAACATGAGGACCAGTCATCAGGTGACGGCCATTGTTTTCAAACCAGTGCAGTGGACTGCGACTCCCAGCACCGTCTCATCCCACACACCCCCCACCCCTCACCCCCCAATGCAGCCGAGACGGGTGTCAGCTTACGATGGTTCACTGAACTCCGATTCGCGGCGACTGCGTTTCCAATGCCATCGCTTCCTAGCCCTTTGTTCTGCCGGTTCTCTCCGAGGTGCGTTTGCGCGGGGACGCGGTGAGCCGGTCATGGCAAAGAGTAACGCGTATAACCAATCCAATTTTTCTTCCACCCGTATTTAATTGATTGCATAGGGGATGTACTGAGTCGGAGCCGGAGCCGCCGGAGCCGGAGCCGCCGGAGCCGGACCATTTTACTCGGAGCCGGAGCCGGAGCCGGAGCCGCCATAACATTTCACCCGGAGCCGGAGCCGGAGCTGGAGCCGATTTTTTTCTCCGGAGCCGGAGCCGGAGCCGGAGCCGTCTGAAATTTCCACGGCTCCGCATCCCTGATTAGAAGGCCTGCTAGCAGTGGTCCCTGAAGTGGTCAGAGCTGTGGGGCCAGGCGCACTGGGGATTTCTCCCAGACTGTCAGAGCTGCCCTGTGATGTAGCTTTAGTCTGGAGATCGGGGAAGGCCGCCGAAAGACTTCATTGGCATTTGACGAGGATTAAGGTCGCAGCTCTGTCCGTGGTTCTTGTTTCGGGGTATTATTGGCGATTCGTTCACCGAGCCTTTTTGTTATAACCATTAAGGTGAATGTCATTTTCAAGGTCAGTTCTGACGGCAGTATAAATCGCTTGTTATGTGGTTGAGTTAGCCGGATGCAGGTTGATCCACTAATTTATCTGGTATTTTAAAAATTATCTTGCCCATTAAGTCACATTGCTCCTCTCAGCGACTCCGCCGCCGCCGCCGCCGCCGCCGATTTCGACGGCCGCCCGGTGACCGATGGTTCTCTCCCCCTCCGCCAGAGTCCGGGGTGGCGCTGGCGTCGGCGCCCTCGCTGCCGGACCACGAGTACACGGACGACCCGCTGCGGGAGGCGCGGCTCTCGCAGCCCAGTCACACGTCCGTCATACGGGGAGGTAGGAGGCCGACGGTTCCCAGGTCCGGGTTACTTCCCAGTCACGGTCACAGCCGCAGCTGCGGCTGACCGCGGGCTGCCCCGCTGGCTGAGGTCCTTCCCTTAGTATATATCGCCCTCAGCTACCTCCCTCCCTCCCCTAACTGAAACTCCCTTACTGATGCCACTACCCGTCATTAAAACCGATCGTCTCGATCCCTGGCTCGACACTAATCACTATAGGTAAGAGATGCAGAGGCTCAGTGGATATAGCCCGAACGGGAGGTTTGTTGACAGTGTTGTCATGGCGAATCGGATGTTCATCGTTTTGTTTTATATGAAACCTTTTTTCATGAACCGCTGTAGGCTAATAATGCACTCCGAAGGTCAGTTATCACTGGATGCTCGCAGAATCAGGTTTTTTTCGTCAGCTGAGATACCGCGCGCTGCCCGAGCGATGTTAGTGCGTCCTGGCTCGTCCAGTAACTGGAACCGTGTGATCGGGGCAGATGAGTGGATTAGGGCCTCCTTTTTCCCAGTTGATACGGTGCCAATACATTAGCGTGGGGTAAATTTTATAAGAATGCTTACAGGCTAGGATGTTGAAAAAACAAGTTTTTGATGATTATGTTAAGGATGAATATTCGAAACACCGGATACTTTTTATTTACATATAGCTACATATAGCTCGCCATGTTTCTGATGAGTTGTTATATGAAAAACTTTTGCGGAAGTAGCTAAGCACGGATGCAACTTTTCGTGGCCTTTTAAAACTTTTCCTATGATCGATGCTATTTCAGTGAATATTCTTATACCTTGTTTGCTGTGAAGTCAAGACACTTTAAAATGTGTATGTTTATTATAAGTTGATGACGGCTACCGCCACCACCTGGTTCTGAGCATCCCCCTGTGTTCCGGCAGACCCCATCATGTCTCGCACCGCACCGGGCGCCACCTCTGAGGAGGACGAGAGTCTCGACTGTCCGCAGTAGACCGCCACTGTTCAGGGGCTCCACTGTCCGCAGTAGGGCGCCGCCACTGTCCGGGGCTCGACTGTCCGCAGTGGAGGGGATGTCTCGACTGTCCGCAGTAGAGCGCCACCACTGTCCAGGGCTCGACTTTCCGCCGTGAGGCGCCACCGTCGCGGAGGACAAGTTTCGACGGTCCGCGAAGAAGCCCCACTGTCGCGGAGGACGAGTCTCGATTGTCCACAAATAGTCGCCACGGCCTCGCCGGCTGCCGCCTGCCCGGCGAAATGAATGCCGGATGCTACCCGATGCACCTCCGGTCGAGGCCGGCACGCGCGCTTAGCGTTGTTGGCCACCTGGGTCTGCTATGATCCATGTACTTATTGTATCTGTTTATTGCTTTGCGATGTGTGCATGTGCTGTGTGACGCTTCTCACTCTGAATTGGGCTGATGCCTGCCCTGTTTCTTTGCGAGCTTGTGTAACCTAGCCATGCGTGGTTACTCGGGTCCGATATGTTGTGTGTGTTCAGCCTCAACACCCTCTACTGCCATATACTATTTTTGAGGTGACTTTAATGGGCTACTGAAGCTTCTTTCAGTATTACTGGTGTCTGGTGCATTGGTGGAAATATATGTTTACTATTACTCGGTGTAGAATTCCCAGGACCTCGAGCGTTGTATGGTGGTGGCACATTCATGGCACAAGTGAGGACAATGGGGCTTAATCCTACTCTTTTTATATTCCGTGGTTAAGGTTATTTGAACATTGAGCTTCAAAGATGCTTAGATAACGTCTTTGTAGAAATCTCGGATTTCCTTTCCTGTTTCCAATTGTCATTGAGTGAATACAATATGGGATGCCTTTAACGAGTGGACAAATTTGTACCTATCTGAGTGACGCATTTGTCTGACCTTGGATAGCTCGGTGTCACCGGAACCGATAATGACTCGTACGCGACTATCTGCCTCTGGTATTCAGTACCAGAAGCGGAAGCCGAGACCGCTGAGACGACTTTATCGGATCTTCCTTTTTCGGTAAGACTGGACCAGATGACTAAAACTTTATCGGATAAAAGTCCTCAGCAAATGGGCATTGGTTTGACGCACCTATCTTAGAAATAAAAGACGCGCTTCTGGGGAATATTGTCATGACCAGGCAGAATGGGAAAAAAAGCTCAGCGTGACCTTCACGAGCGAGTTTGTTTGTAGCATATCGAGACGAGGAAAATTCCTCTCCCGGGACAGTGCCGCCTGGCCCAGCTGCAGGCCCAGCGCCGCTGATCGTATCTCGCCGCCGCTCAGTTTCCGCCCCGGCCGGCCGGCGGACCCGCTCGGCGGTCTCTGTCTCAGTTGGACAGTGTCTCTGTGTGCACCCCCGGGTTCCTCAGTCGGACAGTGTCTCTGTGTGCAGCGCCGGGTTCCTCAGTCGGACAGTGTCTCTGTGTGCAGCGCCGGGTTCCTCAGTCGGACAGTGTTTCTGTGTGCAGCCCCGGGGTCTGTGACGCCGGCCCGTCCCGTGCTCAGCCCGGCCGGCCGCGTGTGTCGCAGTGTTACGCACGCTTCCTGTCGCGGTTCCGTCCGGCGCGTGGCGAGCTCTGTATCGGCAGCTGTGTGACTGCAGCGCGCCGGTATCGGCCTGCGGCGGCTAACGCGGCGCTGCTCGGACCGGAAAGGGAGCCGGGACCGCGCGGCGCCCGGGCGACTGTCCGGGGGTCGGACGGAGTCGGCGGTGACTGTGCGTGTGAATCAGCGTCAATCCGTGTGGGGACGACTCAGAGTGGAGCTACGCAGTGGGCTGAGACCGAGTGGAGCACCGGCCGGTGGTGGAGGTCGTGCCGGCTGTCGGAGCCTCAGTGGAAGTCAGGCGTGTGACACGGGGTCTACGAGCGATGCAGTGCTGCAGCGTTGGACCCGCCGTGCTGCTAACCCTGCTCCTGGTCGGGGACGTCGTCACCAGTGAGTACCCTCTTAGCGTCGACATATCTATCTCACTGTGCTCATTTTGTCACTCTTTGTGCCATGTTTGCTGTATTAAAACACTTTTTCACAGCCTCTCGTCATCAGTACAAAGCTTTTGAAAAGTAATGCGTGTAAATTGCTTTTTATTGACTTACTGTGACCCCTACGGTACCCCACTCACCGTGTTCTCTTTTCCTGCAGGTGCCGCCGTCTGGAAGCACTCGTGCGAGCGGCCGAACATCACCAACGGCAGAGTGGTGACGGTGAGGACGCCGCGCAAGTCGGCAACGGGACACATGTTCAAGTACAGGTGCCGCAGGGGCTACCGCCGGCTCGGCAACATGTACAACATCTGCCTGCGCGGCCGCTGGGTCCTCGAGCACCCCTTCTGCGCACGTGAGTCGACTTTCTAAGGTGTCACTTCACTTGTATGTCTGGGCTGTACCAAGTGTATGTATGTACGTGCTTACGAATAGGATAACATACTGCTATCGAGCGGGATGTGCGCTGTCCAGTGCACTCAGCCTGCTATCATTACGTCTAGCCTGCTATCATTACGTTATCATTACGAGACATACGTCTAGATCTAACTCTGTAGATCCTGGGAGTCTGACAATGTGAGTCTGACTCTGTGGCTGTGGGTGGGGGCCTGTCCGATTCTCTGAGATGATAGAGCCTTCCATTGCTCCCACCATCATGTCTGTTCGGTCTCCGCTGCAGGACGGGGCTGTGCGGCGCTGGCGTCGCCGGCCGGCGGCTCGGCTCGCCAGTCTGTCCAGGGTGACGTCACCACGTTCCAGTGTGAGCCGGGGTACCGGCTGACCGGGGACGCCTCCCTGCACTGCAACGGCCGACAGTGGAACGGCACCGCGCCCGCCTGTGAGGGTGAGTACGGTCACAGAGCTCAGAGGACAGCTCTAAGAGAGGGGACATACACCTCCACCGCGCCTTACTGCACAGATGAGTACAGTCACTGGCCGAGCTAAGAGAAGCTTTTGGAGAGGGGGCGCATTCTCCTCTTCTGCGCCTTTCTGTGAGGGTGAGTACAGTTACTGACCGAGCTCAGAGGAGCTCTCAGAGCTCTCAGACAGAGGGGACTGAGAGGGACGACGTCACTCTCTACCTCGCCACACGGCTGAGATCGCACGGCCGGCGGCGCACTCACTTTGATCCCGGTGGCTATCAGTGCAGCTCGCCCGCCGCTTGGCGGAGCCGGAGACCGGCCCGTCTCATCACTGACTTTGACGGAACTCAGCTTTGACCGGTCAACCGAGCTGTATCAGCTTTGCTAGCCGATCGGCGGAGGCAATCTCTGAAACAGCACCGGTCAATCGTCTTTGTCAACTGCCAGCGACGGCAGATGGAACGTTTTATTTGGTTAATTTCTGCTTAATTTGTTGAAGGTCAAACATCGAAACTAAACTGTAGTGTTTCTATCACATCGTCCAGCATTGACGTTGTCTAAGAACATTTCTGAAATGCATTTATATCACATCTGTGGCAGTAAGCTCACATATTCCGTGTTTAGCCGGAATATCGTAACTGACTAGGCCGAAGTTACTAGCAGATCTGTCGCATCAGTCGCAAGTCATCTGTGTCCACTATTGATATCTCGTGTCAGTTGCGTCTTTTGTGATCAGTGACACACGAACGGACTCGCTACTTTATATATTGTCGGTGTCAGCCGTGTTAGAGCGTTTCAGTGTCAGTCTCGTCTCAGCTGTGTCAGTGTCAGTGTCGCCGTGTCAGTCGGACTTGTCTGTCCGTCGTATGTCAGCGGCGTGTCTGTCCGTCGTATGTCAGCCGTGTCCGTGTCCGTGTCAGCCGTGTCAGCCGTGTCAGCGGCGCGCCGCGGCTGTCAGCGATAGATCGACCGGGCTCCGAGCGACAGCGACGCCGACACCGTCACCGAAGCGTGTAACGAACCTCGCCCGTTCTGCGTGGTCGCAGGGGACGGGGGGGCGGCACCGACTCATAATTCCGGATAAGCGCCCGAGAGGAGAGCCCGGAGGGAGGCCGGTCGCTGCCGCCGGTACCGAGGGCAGTGGGTGTTCCCGGTACTCGCCGACAGTGTCTGACAAACAACCACGCCCCGCCATACTACAGTTTATATCAGCCTGCAATCGTATTTAAAATGCCCAGATATGATTGCAAAAATACCCATGGAGGCTGGATGGGCGGGGTATACACTGCTCTTCTCTTGCCTATGGGGAAAGAGGCGAGTAGGTCCTGTTCTTTTTACTAATAGTGTAGAAACGGTTATTACAGTAGTGTAAACCGAGGAAAGCAAGAATGCAAGGAATAAGTTTTAGTCTCAGTTACATGAAGTGCATGGTCAAGTACCTACCAATTTTTTCATGCTGGTCGGCACATACCGTATTGGGGTCTTTGCAGGCAACTGAATGGGGTATGCTAAACCGAAAACCATCTCTTTGTAGATACCTAATCTACGTGAGCGATCCATACTTCCCTGTTGGGTCAATACCGCCGGAGCACTCCAATATTCCGCTCTCAAAGCGAACGGGGAATCCACGGCGCTCTGTGACCCTCTCGACAAAGATTACTGGTCCAAGTACACCATCACCTAAGCACCGGTGCCGGTTATATAATGTAATGCCCAACTTCGCCGAGATACGTTCAGAGGCAAGATTGCACCTTTCACTGTGGCAAAGAGCGTCGTTAAAACATAGGCAGCTCTTCCCCGTCGCTAAGCTGGCCGCGGTGCGCTCTCAGAGCCTTTCCATAAATTTAGGCTCGCTCTGTGAAGTATCGGGGTGGTAACTGGTTTCACGTATCCCATGTCTTGTGGCAAGCAGTGTTCATTACACGTTTCCTGACAGGATAAACGACATTTGTAACCATATTTCCCGTACTTTCTGATAAGAGATGTGGCGCACCACTTCCTTTCTGATTTGACTTCCAAGGACCAAACAAAAGAGCAAGACGTTTGTACAATGTCCAGTGCATCGATTGCCAATCGCCAGTTTAGGAGTGTTCTACGTGAAGGGGTGGTGGCAGTGATCTCTTTCTCTGGACGTTTGTGTGCTCATTTCTGCGTGTGCCTGTTTGTGGATGTGTTTGTGACCGTGTTTGCCGGGCTGAGGTGGACTCTGTCAGAGCGGCGGTGACGGCGTTCAGTTGCCAGCCCTCCGGTCCGGTCTGTCCCGTAAAAACTGCATGCTTTTACAAACAGCCGTCTCGCGCGGCCGCTGAGAGCCGACTAACTAAATAACCACTCCGGCTGGCGGCGGAAAGGGACGGTATCGGACCGCCGCGCCGCGGGCGGCGGCTCGTCGAACTGTGTGATCCCCTGTCCAGGGTCCCCGAACATGGGACGGCGCTGGCAGCTCGCCGGAATGGTGAGCTGTGCTCAGGGTCTTTGGACGCTGAGCGGGGTGTGAGCGAGGGAGCTTGAAGCTCCGATGTCTGTGGTCCCTAAAGTAATGGGCGGGGAGTCGGGGAGGCATGCCGTCATAGGCAGCGGAACGGGGAGGGCACCGGGGCACCGTGCCCCCCTTTGATTTTGGCATTTTAACATTAGCCCTATGGGCGTTGCATGGAAAGAATGGGACCAAAAGTCGGCAGTGCCCCCTCATAAGGTGTTCCGCCGCTACTGCACGCCGTCGCTCTTTGTTGTCCATGAAAGGGTGATGGCTGTCTCAGAATACCAGAAGGCTCAGCTCAGTAAGGTGGAAATCGATGGACGGTGGTTACTGGTCAGGGATAAGCTCGATAATTATGCATACCTATTACCTAATATAGGAAGATGCTTTTGGCGAAGTGATGGATACCAAGCGATTTTTAATTGATCTGTATTTTTTATTCCAAACATGCCTTCTGCACTACCTTCATATTTGTAAGGCTTCGTAGCATTCCTTAAATATGAAAATGTTTTTGGCAGCGATTGCTGGCTGTGATTTTAAATTGCGTCAGCTAATTTCAGAAAACGAACGTTCTGTTCGAATCTATATTGGCAATCTAGGAGAAAATGATGAATGTCAAACTAACTAACGAGGCGTAAAATGCACGCGCTACGAAAGGCACTTAAAATTTCATCATAGTTTGCAAATCCTATGGTAATCCTCATCAGGCTGGCAAAGCTGACAGAGCTTTCGACATTATTAGGCATCAGCTTTTATGGATGTCTCGACTTTATGCTCGGATTAGACTCGATTCAGCCCGGCCTCGAGGCGTCTTTGGAGGTGTTCGCGTTAGTCCCGGCCGGCCGGCGGGCCCGGCATTGAGACGTTCATATGATTCGTCCCCACGGGGCTCTGCACAGGTGCGGGGACCAATCGGCCCTACCGCCCGCGGCGCCGGCCCTACCGCCCGCTGCCATAACCCGGCGACCGGCGGCGCACCGACCGGCCGACCGCCCTCCGGGGCACACCAATCTCACGCAGTTTCGCGCCATAGAGTGCGACAGTTTCGGCGAAACTCGAGACTGCCTTAGCGAGCGGCGAGCTCGACGAACGTCGCTGTGCCGCCGACCCGCAGAAACTCGGCCAACTTGGCGCAGGGCTCCACGCACTAAGGCACCGGACCCATATGTAGTTGGACAGGAGGTGTTCAGGCGAGCCTTTTTTGTCGTATAGCAATTTTCCGGACCTCAGTCTCAGCTAGACCAGTTGAGGCTTTGTTTCGATGATGCACGGCAAAGGCAATCTTTGTCTATCCCTTCCGGTCGGTTCCTGTAGTAAAAAATCCCACACATTATCGCGTCTCTGTCCCCGGTACACCCAGCGCACTGCGCTCGGCCGTCCCGGGGGGCCGCCAGTGCGCCGTGAGTCGGTACCGGTGGGTCGGTCCCGCCGTCGGCGCCCGATGGCGGCTGCTCTCAGCTCGCTGCCGTGTCGAGTCGACGCCCTGTCGGCGGAATCCTAAGGCGGCCGGAGCGGCAGGAGAGCCGCCGCTGCACGCCCGGCGACGCGGTCGGATATCAGACCATCTGAAACGACCCGCAGCCGAGAAACGCCGACCACGCAGCCAGACCAAAGGGGAATTAGACCGGGCTCGGATTGGCCAAATAGGATGGGTTTCACTGAGGGCGCCGATATTGGGCGAGGCTGCGGGCTCCAGCCGAAAAAAGACGTGGAAATCAATTATTTCGGAAATGGAGGTAGCGCCTATCGGTTGAAATTTTCCTCTTGATTGCCTACTTTAAGTTTAACAATGCGAATTGCCGAAAGTATAATTTTCAATCAATGCTGGCCCGTATATGATGCGTGCCTAACTTCTTAAATGCTAATTATGTAGGCATGCGTACGAGTGTAAAAAAATAACGGGCGCTAATGCGGTGTCGTGACTGTTGTTTTTATTGGCTTCTACAGCTGCAATGAATGATGGAACATGATTTTTGCATGTATTATTGATTCACAAATTAGTTCAAAAGTTGTGCGCGTAAATTACATCAGGGAAGCTGCTGAGATTAGCTGTTGATTAGTGTGAGAGAGCTTTTGATAAGGTTATGCGCTGATGAGTGCGAGATTTTGCGACAGTCTCGAAGTCTGACTGATTGGTCTGAGGGACGGTGCTTTGGGTGGAAGGTGATCCTACTCACCGTTCTCAACTCACGGAGGGCAGGTCGGCTCTTACATCCCGGTACCGAGATGGTATGTCTATATTATAAATTGATATTTTTATGTGTGTAAAATGCTTTTACTGAGCTAAAACTTCATATTTTTCGGACGCCGGGAGGGCCGGAGGGGCATGTTCCCCGAAAGCGCCCCTAGATCTGTCAGTAAAAAAGGACGTCATGAATATATCTCGTCTGCCGCCTGCTGGTCACATTACCTCGGATGTATACCTAAGGATTGGCTCTTTAGGTATTTAACCTGTATTCTGGCTACTGTCTGTACCGGTGACCTGACCTCGGTCACTGCCCGGACCCGGTGACCTGACCCGGTCACTATCTATACCCGGTGACATGACCTGAGTCACTGTGTGGTCCCGGTGACCTAGTCTCAGTCACTACCCGGATACAGTGACCTGACAAGACCCACCAGCCGATTCGTTCTCTGTATCGCGACGCACCAATCCGTTACTCAGCCTCAGCGAGCAGTAATCACACAACAGCTCGGTGCCCGGGACCTGCTATCAGACCTACATTGTTCCGCGAGATTGCGGAGGCAAACTTGGCGCACAACAATCCATCCTGGATCGCGGTGCAACTCCCGATGGGAGCACTGGGCGCGAGCGATGCATACCCGTAGTCCGCTGGGTAAGCAAGGGCTTTGCGCATCAGGAATAGTCAATCGAGTCAGTTGGTTGTACCACTCTAAACAGTAGGGCAATGGACCCGATGTATCCCGGGAATAGTATGCAGACTGGTAGGTATTGATATTTATTGCTTGTTAACATAATAATGTCTTATTTGGCACGTCGCTAGTAACCAACCTTACACTTATTAGGTGAGCTTGCAAGAATGCTGTAGGTATTGATTGGTGTGCTGTCGCCATCCTTCGAAGCATTTGTAGTTCACGAGTATATACCTACCTATATAGGCACTCGGAACATGGCTGGTGTTTTCAATGGTCACTGGTCAATGATCGGTCACTCGCCGTTCATACAATATCCATCCATGGTCGAACAAGAACCACAGTGTGGTCTGGTGGGAGCCCATACTCAATCATTCAACGGCAGCTACCGCCTGTGTTGTACAGGCGGTGTAAGAACCGCTCGGCCTTCCAGAAGACAAATTGATCTCTAATAATGCATCGCACCATGCACTTCGAAGTGCGACAAATGAATCAGGAAGTGGAGCTCTCGCTCAAGGAATGACCTGTTCCAGAAATGGACTGCTCTCATCGTGAATCGGTAGTGAGGCTGAGCTGGCCGCTCTCTGCCGCTGAGGCCATGGCGTGAGAAGTCCTCCGAGACTCGCAGGTGCTAGAGAAACCCCACCATAACCCCAACAGTTCCAGGCCATCAGGAGATCAGGCGAACTACTGGCAACTTGTGATGCAGGCGCAGCAATATGGGAGAGTGAGAAGAAACATAAATAGGTATCGGTCAGGTCACAGACCAATGAACAGGTGTAATGTGTTTGTTCCCGTTTCAGCATATGTACCGCTGGCTTCGCTATGTTTCGGAGAAACTTTGGTGTAACTTTTGTAATTTAAACGTTCATGATCGGGGTACGGCCGGGGCTGTGTGCCATTTATAGGTTGTTAATACTTACATAAGTAAATTACTTGTCCTTTAAATTTAAGCATCAATAATACGCATCATGTATTTGACGTCTGACGGTTCTCTTCAGTGAAGCCCAGTGAGTGCTTGTTTGTTCCTAATTATTTAGTTAGGTATCCTGTTTTGAGCTATCTTGATAATACACCAAACAAATGATTTCCGTAGCATTGTCATGACCACAATGCCTTCCGCGGGGCCTTTGCCTTCGGTGGACCAGTGTCCGTATTATTTCCCCGTCCAGTGGTCTTTGTCCGTGTATTTCTGCGGCACCGAGTGTAGTGTTTGCGCCGCCAGGGCCCGGTTCTCTCGTGTGGACGCCGGCCGCGGACGGCGGCGGGGGGGCGGAGCGACTCTTCTCGGCTCGACTTCCGGCGGCGGCTGCCACTTCCGGCTGTGTCCGCTTCTGGCACCGGCCGCGCCGCCGCCGCCATCCGCTCTGTGAGTACAGCGCCGTCAGATCGGTGGCAATGTCCAGACGTTTTGTGGTTTGATTACCAATTGTGTGATTGTGAACAGACAAAAGGATTGTTATTAGAAGACCGTACATTAGTGCGCCGCAATTGACAAGCAAACTTATCTAAAAAGAATTGAATATCGTAGAAGAATAACCTTATGCTCACTATCTTTAAACAATCCAAAAATTAGCCTAAAATCAATGAATATATTTCGGAAACGTTCCTTCTTCAGTTCAAAAAGTTAACTATACAAGCCACAGAAATGTACAAATAATTGAACGTCACAAAAGCGCCGAATTCACTGATCCCACCAACGAATATTAGTCACATTCTCGTGCCATATAAGTAGAATGGCCTCTTTTAATCAACGCAAGACTAAAATAACAGGTATACATAAGGTAGCGTAACCAAATACAACTGTATGAGATCACTTGTGATCTAACGAATAACTAATAACTATGCTAGTCAATTTAGAAACACACAATATAATTACAACTAACATGCAAGGTGTACACAACCAACTACTCAAAAAGATCGACTGTCTAGCCAACAAACTAGCCATTCAACCAATTATTCAATCAACTAGTTACACCCATTACATTCAGTCATGGAGTCGACAAACCATTCAAGTATCCATTCCAAATCATTCAATCAAACGTTTTATCATACAATCAAGCAGTCATTCAATCGAACAAACAACGATTTTATCATCCAATCAAGTAACCCTTCAACCATTAAATCAATCAGACCCACAGTCGTCCATTCAATCATCTATCAATCTACCATTCAATATTCCATTTAATCATACATATAATCAACCATTCAATGATTCAATCAAACATCGGCATTTAATAAAACATCTAACTAAGCATCTCAAAAGCCAAAAGATCTAACAGTCATGAGGCTATCCCAACATCTATCACGTCTCAGTCTGACAGTTCACACTAATCACAGAACTGCCCAAGATGCGATGTTGGTGTTTAGGGCTGGTCGGTATGTCCTTATCCATAGCGACTCTGCTATTTTTCTGTCTCTGCTGGTGTTGCATGTCTGTAGGATCTTGGCCGCGATGTGTTGGGGCTCTGGGCGACATCGAGGGCGACATCAGTGTGAACTGTCAGACTGAGACGTGATAGATGTTGGGATAGCCTCATGACTGTTAGATCTTTTGGCTTTTGAGATGCTTAGTTAGATGTTTTATTAAATGCCGATGTTTGATTGAATCATTGAATGGTTGATTATATGTATGATTAAATGGAATATTGAATGGTAGATTGATAGATGATTGAATGGACGACTGTGGGTCTGATTGATTTAATGGTTGAAGGGTTACTTGATTGGATGATAAAATCGTTGTTTGTTCGATTGAATGACTGCTTGATTGTATGATAAAACGTTTGATTGAATGATTTGGAATGGATACTTGAATGGTTTGTCGACTCCATGACTACTGTAACTAGTTGATTGAATAATTGGTTGAATGGCTAGTTTGTTGGCTAGACAGTCGATCTTTTTGAGTAGTTGGTTGTGTACACCTTGCATGTTAGTTGTAATTATATTGTGTGTTTCTAAATTGACTAGCATAGTTATTAGTTATTCGTTATATCACAAGTGATCTCATACAGTTGTATTTGGTTACGCTACCTTATGTATACCTGTTATTTTAGTCTTGCGTTGATTAAAAGAGGCCATTCTACTTATATGGCACGAGAATGTGACTAATATTCGTTGGTGGGATCAGTGAATTCGGCGCTTTTGTGACGTTCAATTATTTGTACATTTCTGTGGCTTGTATAGTTAACTTTTTGAACTGAAGAAGGAACGTTTCCGAAATATATTCATTGATTTTAGGCTAATTTTTGGATTGTTTAAAGATAGTGAGCATAAGGTTATTCTTCTACGATATTCAATAATGCTGCTCATTTTAGTACTTCGCCATCTTATTACACTAAAAAGAATTGTTTTAATGCATGTCTTCTTGCCCAACCATCATTCGCCTCAGCCATGAGCCTTCAGCGCACGGTAGCAGCTTTGTTGTCATTACTGATATATTTTCGCAGTAATGGTATTTTATTACTCCCTCGATCATTGTCAGACGACATCACTCTTCATTGTCCGTGCGCCTCGACTCCGTTTCACTGGCACTCCGCAGTCCGCAGAGTCCCGACACAAATACTGCCCCACCTTCGGCAGAGGCGCCGTGCAACAGATGCCCCCACCGAGCCAAACATCAATCATGGATCGGCTCGAAGTCGGCCGACGGTCTCAGGCTCCATTTATTTTCCGTCTGCCCTTCCCTCGTCATTCTATTTCCGAAGACATAACATTACTCGCACATATAGGCGAGAAAAAGATTGCCAGTACCCTCTCAATGCTTCCAAGTTATGTAGGTAATAATTTCAGTTGTATGAATTCCTCATGTCTGTCTGAATTTTAAAGGTATAGGTACATAGGTCGATGCGATACATTTCAGGGGGTCATTACTATTAGCTACTCTCGCAGTGTTGCACCTGCAAACACCCCGTTTGAGGTACCAGTGCAGTGGCCGCGGGGAGGTGAACACCGACCCAATACAGATCCTACTCAGTGTCCATCTCTACCCTCTCTCTCTCTCTCTCTCTCTCTCTCTCTCTCTCTCTCTCTCTCTCTCTCTCTCTCTCTCTCTCTCTCTCTCTCTCTCTCTCTCTCTCTCTCTCTCTCTCTCTCTCTCTCTCTCTCTCTCTCTCTCTCTCTCTCTCTCCTCTCTCTCTCTCTCTCTCTCTCTCTCTCTCTCTCTCTCTCTCTCTCTCTCTCTCTCTCTCTCTCTCTCTCTCTCTCTCTCTCTCTCTCTCTCTCTCTCTCTCTCTCTCTCTCTCTCTCTCTCTCTCTCTCTCTCTCTCTCTCTCTCCCTCTCTCTCTCTCTCTCTCTCTCTCTCTCTCTCTCTGTCTCTGTCTCTCTCTCTGTCTCTCTCTCTTTCTCTCTCCCCCCTCCCTCTCTCCCACGTAACTTCTGTCCCTCTCTATCTCCTCTCTCCCTCTCACTCTCCCTCTCTCTCTCCCACGTCACCTCCAGTCCCCACTGTCCCCGGAGACGCCGTGCGACAGGCACAATCTCCGCGCCGACAAACTAAGCCCCCTTATTAGCTCTCTTGCAATGCCTTGTCCTACTAATGGCCTATTGATCACATATTGGTTCAGGGTGAGGGAGAGTGGCCTCATCCCGGCACCGGCTCCCGGCAAATACGAGGCGCCCGCTAAATTAGGAACCACGCAAATTAAACGATCCCAAATAGAAAACCATCTGCCATGTTGTCAACCTGACGCAACATTGTTTTTCTTTGCATTTGGAAGACGTAATTGATTTCTTCATATTTTGCTTTTTCATAGAAAATACCACTAAAATATGTCTTCCACTGATACCTGCTGACGTAACTATCTGATGCGTGCCGCAGATTCGGACGCGGTTCGGGTGTTTGCGCTGAAGGCCGACAGCTCGGCGCCGTCGGGTCACCTGCGGGCCGCGCTGCGGGGCACGGATGGGGTCACCAGCGGAGACTGGACGGAGACGGTCGTACCGCTGCCCACCGTCGACGAACCAATAGAGGTCAGTACCGAAACGGGGACGTCAGCTGCCTGCACTACACTCAATACCCTGGTGGTGTTCAGAGCACTGCGACTTTGCGTGATGCATCGTGTCGGGACACATGTCATGATCAAGTGACATTCTGCAATTGTTACTTATCCGTGTCTTCCCTGTTCCGCTGTTCTCAGACGGTGCGTTCCCTGTCCCGGTTACAGGTGACCTCAGTCACTACATCCCCCGGCTCCACGTCGTCCTACCCCGTCCCGCCGTCGGTATACGGTACCACCGCATATAGCAGCCGCTGGTCCGAGAAACCCCCCGACGCCGCCGCTCCGCTGTGAATGCGTCTGATTCAGAGCGACGGTGGTCGCTCTGGGTCTGGGCGCGCTCCCTACCGTCCGCTATGCATTCGTCGATCGACGCTCTGCCGCATTGAAGCCGCTCGCCGCTCGCTCCGTCCATCCCGCGCGGTAATACCCGGCTCCCATTCAGGCCGAGTCGGCCGCCGAAATTGACAGACGGCTGCCACGCTCCGACCGCCCCAGCGAGCCGGGCAGATTTGTCAGCTCGCTAGCTCGCGCCGCCGGTAGAGCCACCGCGAGCGCAGTTTTAGTTGTTTGATAGAGGACGCTCTGTAACTTTTCCTCGGCTCTCTGGTTGTTTGTTCGGCAGCGCTCGAGAGGCCATCTTCTGATAGACATTCATTGGGCCGCGCTGTTGGCGGTCATCGATTGTGCTGAGAGTGCGAGCACAATACGCCGCTGCTGCCCAATGGTGCGCCGTATCTGTGCCCTTTGTGGCGACATCGGCTGTGCTCGTCGCGGCCATGGGGGAACGCTGCTGCCAAGGGGCGCCGCTCATAGCATAAAGGTCGTGATAAGTGCCACAGGGGGCCCTGTGTGGGACGATATGGACCGGAATATGGACACAGCACTCAATTCGCTTGATATAGGCATCCATTAGACTATTCGTATGCATGGGGTATGCTATATTTTTTCTACAAATGTTTTTTAATCTTCTTACTGCCCGTGTACCAAATTTCCAGGAAAACAGCCAATTTAAGAGGTACTCGCAGGCTTGCAGAGCACTGTTTGCATAAGGTCTGGGCTGACTACTGAGCATATCAAAGCAGAATAAAAAGTTAGGCTGTGTGCTCCACTAAGTTCTTTCATCGAACTTTTTCTTCGTAAAGCTGCGGTAACTACCAAAGACCCATCCACCAACGATCAGACCATAGCAACAACACATGGCTAACATATTCATCGCTTTGAGTTAACGCATGCAACGCTAAGAATATCAAGGAGCGGAAAGTGGACAGTCATTCCGATTGGATTATTGTCCAATACTTGGCTGCAAGTATACCTACTCACAACATATTATGTTTTTTGTAATCCTAACTTTTACCTCAACGCCTTTTCCTGTTGAAAATAAAGATATGAGGTACCTATTTCGTGTCGCCTCCCTGTTATCGTGTTCTACAAACACCGAGGCATGTCCGTGTATCAGTAACAGTAGAGGACGTATCACTGGGTAAACAAGATCCCGAGTGGCGGGCACCCATCTCCGGGCCCCATTTATCAGGCCCCCTATAAAGAAGCGGCGCGCGGCGCTCGGTGACAGGTTCACTCCCCTGTTTACTGGATGGTCGCCGCTGTTTGCCGGCGGCACGCCGTCACCGCGCCAATGGTCGGCAGACCATCGCCAGAACGACTCCTTCGTCCCCGGGCCACCAAACCACCCGGAACCACAGACCAACCAGCCCCTGGCAGTCAGCACTCAGCACCCAGCCCTCGGCAGTCAGCACTCAGCACCCAGCCCTCGGCGTCCAGCCCCTGGCACTCAGCACTCGGCACCCATCCCTCGGCAGTCAGCGCTCAGCACCCATCCCTCGGCGTCCAGCCCCTGGCAGTCAGCACTCAGCACCCAGCCCTCGGCAGTCAGGCACTCAGCACCCATCCCTCGGCGTCCAGCCCCTGGCAGTCAGCACTCAGCACCCAGCCCCTGGCAGTCAGCACTCGGCACCCATCCCTCGGCAGTCAGCGCTCAGCACCCAGCCCTCGGCAGTCAGCACTCAGCACCCAGCTCTCGACAGTCAGCACTCAGCACCCAGCCCTCGGCGTCCAGCCCCTGGCACTCAGCACTCAGCACCCATCCCTCGGCGTCCAGCCCCTGGCAGTCAGCACTCAGCACCCAGCCCCTGGCAGTCAGCACTCGGCACCCATCCCTCGGCAGTCAGCACTCAGCACCCAGCCCTCGGCGTCCAGCCCCTCGGCAGTCAGCACTCAGCACCCAGCCCCTGGCAGTCAGCACTCGGCACCCATCCCTCGGCAGTCAGCACTCAGCACCCATCCCTCGGCGTCCAGCCCCTGGCAGTCAGCACTCAGCACCCAGCCCTCGGCAGTCAGCACTCAGCACCCAGCCCTCGGCAGTCAGCAATCATCCCTGCCTATATAATCATCTCTCACCACACAGCCTGCAGCATCCAGCCCCCGATTCCTGCAGCTCCACAACTTTCGACTCCCGCTGTTCGGCAGTTTTCAGTCACATCAGCTCCCTGCAGTTTCCACAGCTCAGCCTCCTTATCTCCCGCAGTTCACAGTCTGTTCAGTACCGCAGCTTTCAGGCTCCACGGCTCCCACAGCTCCACAGCCCTCAGTCTTCTCAGTTCCCTCAGTACCTCGGCTCTCGCAGATCGTGCAGCTCTCAGTCTCTGCAGTACCCACAGCCCTCAGTCTGTTCAATACCGCAGCCCTCAGTCTGTTCAATACCGCAGCCCTCAGTCTGTTCAATACCGCAGCCCTCAGTCTGTTCAATACCGCAGCTCTCAGTCACTGGCTATCGCAGCTCTCAGTCTCCTTTACCGCAGCTCTCAGCTCTGGCAGCTCTCAGTCGCTGTAGTTACCGCAGCTCTCAGTCTTCGCCGTTACCGCAGCTCTCAGTCTCTGAAGTTTCCGCATCTCTCAGTCTCATTCACTTCGGCTCACGCAGCTCCTAAGCTCTCGGATTCCGCGGCTCGTCAATACCCGCGGCTCCATACCGCTCTCAGTCCCATTGGCTTCCGCAGCTTCTCAGTACCGCAGCGCTCAGTATCCTCAGTACCGCAGCTCTCAGTCTACTCGGTACCGCAGCTCTCAGTCTACTCAGCTCCCGCAGCTCCCAGTCCCACCTATCGGCGGCCCCTCCGCCTTTCGGCCGGCTGGTGGTGCCGGTGCCGCTGTATCGAGCGGCTCAGTGGAGCGGCGCGGCGCGATTCCACGGCCGCCCAGAGGCCCGCAGACGACCCGTTTCACACCCGCTCGTCAGTGTCCGCAGCGCACCGTCCCGCACGGGGCCCACCCACCGATCCAGGGTAGTCCGAGGTGGGCATGTAAGCCACAGGGACCACTGACCGCAACGTATTGTCACCTACAGCAGACTGCGTTACAGGAGTCGATGAACTTGTCCGCTGCAATTAAGAGTGGTAAAGATATAAGTTAGTGTTTGATATCTAAGTGGAACACGGTTGTGTGTTCACGTTTATTATTTATTTCGGGGGAACTTGTATCATACGTCAGTTCCAGCTGCAGAATTCACAGGAGTATGCTGGCAGCTGCTCTGCTTTGAGAAGAATCAAGGAATATGTGGTCGTCGCGGGCTGCCCCTCACATCACTGAAGTAGTTAATACCCAATCCACGTGCCAAAGTTGCCACCTTATGCCACTGACCTCCGATACGTAACTGGGATAGAGAGTTTCTTCTGCAGTTCAACTGCTTCGTGCAGTCATGTCTCTATTTTATCTGCTGGGCTAAGACGAAACGTCAAGATAATAATAATTCCGTTTCAGTTCGCTAACGTCAAACAGTTTATTTATCAAGGTTGGAAAATATCGATCTCGATAGACGTTGCAGAAAAAATGCCCCTCTGTGTTCACTACCTACTGGACATACTGGAGCAGTAAGTACAAACCTGCTTCTGAGAAAGTCTGCAGTGAGAGATGATGCTTACTGTACAGCCCAATGAGTTAACCAGCGTATAAACAATGGAGCATTTGAAGCTGCTTGGATTTTCGTTGAGAAGAGCTCTCGTACTTTTATGACTGCTAACGATGTAAGCTGAAAAAAATGGATGTTGCTAATGACTGAAAACACGCTGCTGGTTCTAGTTAGGTCGCTTCGAAGATAATTACGCATACGCATACAATGAATTCGAGCCGTTGAACAGACTTTATTGCACGGCTGCACGCTTGTTTATTTTGTAGGATTTTTTCTTCTAATATTGATGTCTCTAAAACGGCAGTAAGCTCCGAGCCCGGAGTAGCTGTGCCTACCTTGTAGTCGTATAACGACCGTTTACACGGCGTGTTTGATAGCGCGAACCCTTACACTCCAGGGTGGGGACATTCTCTGCTCAGTAAACGTCAACCACAAACCTTTCATCCAACATAATAGGCCGCCCGGATGCTCGAGTGCCCATACGATGTTCTTGGCTCAAGGTAATCATTCTTGCACCTCGTCCTCTCCTTGGTCCGTGAACGTTTCACAGAGCAGGCCTCTTAATTGGGCGGCGCCTGAAAACAGTGATTGGGAGTTACCTTGTTGTTAGAATAGTCAACCGTGTAAGGAAGTCCGTTTATGGCAGATGGCATGCTTCACGAAACACATGGTGGATATGGATAGCGTTCAGCAATCACTGATGATGGATATCATGCATGTCTTAATCACTTAGGCTGTGATATGTCATCTTGTATTACCATTTTATACATGTTTTAGATCGGGTTAAACGTGTTGCTGCTTATGTTACGTCATCACTGACCCTGCTTTACAAACAAGATTACCAATTTCACTTGACCACAGCCCTCTCCCATCATCCAAAAGCCGGAGGAAGGAATAGCTCGACAACCGAGAGTGATGACCTCTGCCGTAAGTCACGGTCCGTTATTAAAGGTCACGTTCTCGCCCCTGTGTCCCCAGATTGTAATCGAAGCGGGCCGCTCGGCCGGCCGAGGCGCCGCTGTCGAGCTCAGGGACGTCGCATTGATGCATGAAGACGAATGTGACGCGGTGGCGACGCCGTCGGAAGGCCAGGCCAGAGGTGAGATATCACCTCCAGGGGGGCGGGCTGCCGGGGCACGGGCATTGCGGTAAAGGTGGTTAGTGGGGGACCGGGACTTCTAACTATGCCTATGTGTAAACAGGGAGGCCTGGGGGTTGCAGTGCCTTTTGTGGACTTCGGTACGCATTGTTTGCCTTGCACTTATCTCTTATATAGTCACCGATATGTGACTCAGTGCCGCTTAGCGGCAATCCGCTAACACCTTTTGTGAAAGCATACCTATTTTGCGCCTTGACGTACCTATAAATGTGTGCGTCACATTTTATTCCAACCATATGCTTCGATCTAATAAGTTGGGCTAGGCACTACGGGTTAGGATGTTTTGTAATCTCATTATAAAGACCTCACGCCTTGTTAGCCTTTGATGTAAATAAAACCACTCGAGCAGACGGAAGATAAACGCCTGCCGTTAAGCGGTGTTGTTTTGCGAAAACCCGTTCTATTTCACCCCTCTCTTATATCCTGGCACGGTATGCTTTGCTTTCTTTGTTCCACAGTTTGAAACAGCATGTTACAAAGTGATGAAAGGTATTCTTTCGTTTTATTTATCTCTGATGAGAAATATATAGAATATAGATGTTCCATTACGAGTAACGTGAATTAAACCTATACATGTATTCAATGCACGCTGGTCCCGTGTACATACAGCTCTGCTAGCCGTCCGCCGCTGGCCGAACTGACACAAATGTGACGCGCTGGGGGCGGTTCCCGGCGCGGCGGTCCTCTCCGCACGGATGCCCCGTGGAACCGCTGGGCGTAGCTCATTACTAAAGCTGTTGTATGTGCATTTCTGAGAGCTGCATAATGAACCTGCTGGCAAACATTGGGCCACGATGCGACAGGCAGCAGTTCCACCTCAGCTGTTGCCTGTTAGAGCTAAAATACAGTGGACACCCATGACTCGGCCCTCGCATGGTCAACCTTTTTCCATTTTTTTTTTCTCTGTCGGTCGGTCGGTCGGTCGGTCGGTCGGTCGGTCGGTCGGTCGGTCGTTCGGTCGGTCGGTCGGTCAGTCTGTCTGTCTGTCTGTCTGTCTGTCTGTCTGTCTGTCTGTCTGTCTGTCTGTCTGTCTGTCTGTCTGTCTGTCTGTCTGTCTGTCTGTCTGTCTGTCTGTCTGTCTGTCTGTCTGTCTGTCTGTCTGTCTGTCTGTCTGTCTGTCTGTCTGTCTGTCTGTCTGTCTGTCTGTCTGTCTGTCTGTCTGTCTGTCTGTCTGTCTGTCTGTCTGTCTGTCTGTCTGTCTGTCTGTCTGTCTGTCTGTCTGTCTGTCTGTCTGTCTCTCTGTCTCTCTCTCTCTCTCTCTCTCTCTCTCTCTCTCTCTCTCTCTCTCTCTCTCTCTCTCTCTCTCTCTCTCTCTCTCTCTCTCTCTCTCTCTCTCTCTCTCTCTCTCTCTCTCTCTCTCTCTCTCTCTCTCTCTCTCTCTCTCTCTCTCTCTCTCTCTCTCTCTCTCTCTCTCTCTCTCTCTCTCTCTCTCTCTCTCTCTCTCTCTCTCTCTCTCTCTCTCTCTCTCTCTCTCTCTCTCTCTCCGCGGCGCCAGCTGTCCGTGTACCAGACTGGCCGGCCGTCCCCCCGGAGGCAGGCCGGGACTCCCCGGAGAGCGGCCGTTCTGCCGCACTCCTCTCGTCACCAGCGCCGCAGCTGGGCGCCTGCGACTATTGAGCGCGCCCGCACCACGCACAGCCACTGTCGGAGACTGGGACACACCCGACCCGCCCTGACTGTGACACGCTCCTCAGCCGCCTCGCGCGGAGACTTGGGTGTCAGTTTTTCCCCGCCGCCGGACGAGAAAGCTGTCAGTAACAGTGAGCAGGAGTCAAAACGGAACGAAATCAGTGGGAAAAGTCCACAAACTCGCACTTATTGATTGCATATAAAGGAAGTCAAATCGTGGTCGTGGTATAGGTATTCTACCGATCAATATTGTGTTCAGTGTTCACCTATCTAGTTAACTTATAGGATAACATTCGAACAATATTGCCCGAATGCTTACTTTAGGACGCATTAGTAAGATCATAGATAACATGAACTACCTGGATTGGACACTCGTTTTTGGCGCAAAAAATAAGAGGCCACTTTGGCCTCTCATTTTTAATGACGGATTTTTAATCAGTATTTTGAGAGGCTGATATCTCAGCAACCGCTGGGCCGATTCGCCTGCGGTCTTTTTTGCTGAGTATCTCCATCCTTTCTGTCCCAAAATTCACTTATCGTGGTGCATTCAGGTGACCGTTGTGGCACGTGGCACATAGGCGGTCCCAGGGGGGGGGGGGGGCCACGGGGGCCATGGCCCCCCCTTTGGTGCTGAAAGGTGGGGCCATACTATCTTTTGGCCCCACCTTTTCGCATCGAGCAAAAGTCCCACAAAAACTTTTTGTACGTTTCATTTTCTCGTTTAATGAAAGGTCTTTCTTGCGCCAGCAAAGGAAGTAAATTTCACTCATGAGTGGGCTCAGTTTCACATTCAATCAAATTGGCGGTCAGTGTCGCTGGCACCGGTTCAGGAGTATGGCCGGATGTGAGATATACTCCTTATGTGGAATATCGGGGTGGGTTTACTTGAGGCTCTCATAGGCACAGCATTGGCTGGCATGAGACCCTCTTTGTCCCGCTAGCGTGGTTCTACGACACTAAAGCATGACCTCATGGGTTGGTGCTGTGCAACTCAGAAGTCAGAAGCCCGGTGGTGAGTGACCCCGTATACCGGCTTGGTGGGATTATTAGCGTGGGACCTCCGGGGCCTGCGTATTAGAGATTGCATGAACTAGTATGTGATCTCAGAGGCCTGTGTAATGTGTACACAGTGGCGGTCGGAGGGCGGGGGGCAGCAGGGCCATCCCCAAAAGGCAAATAAGGGGGGCATCATATCATTTGCCCCCGCCCCCAAACAACCGATGGGCCCCCATGAGCGTATGGGGCCCTGGCCCTTATCCGATTGTCACGAGGCCCAAGAAACCCACGCCCAGCTATTTCCTAATAGCTCCCACACCGGTCTTTGAGCGTCCTACACTGAACTCTGAGGGCCCTTCAGTGGCGGTCAAGCACCCACATTGACCGCTAAGAGCCCAGATCGACCTCTGATGGCCTTCCACTGGCCTTTGGGGCCCCTTAACCGGCCTCAGGGGCCCCAACCGGCGTTGAGGACCTCCGGTCTCTGGTGGCCTTATTTCTGTCTCTGGGGTCCCGAGACTAACCTCTAGGTGCCTATGAGGGCCCGCAGTGGCTGCCGAAGACCCGATGCCGGCCTCTAAGGGCCCGCATCGGCCTCTGATGGCCCATCTTGGCTTTTGAGAGCCCTCTGCTGGCCTCTGGGTCAAACGCCGGCCCATGCCGGTCTTTTAGGACCTTACGCTGACCTCTGAGGGCCCCATGCCAGCCTGAAAGGACCCACACTAGCCTGCGAGGGCTCAACTCGGTCTCTGATGGTCTCAACCTACTGGCCTTTGTAGGCCCTGTACTAGTCTCTAAGGGCCCTAAACTGGCCTCTAAGTGAAAACATACAGGGGTGGACTTCTGAAGTTCTGAGGACTTACGCAGACTCCTGCAGAGCCTAATGTTGGTCCCGATGGTCCCGCGCACGGATTCCCTCATATTTCGGCGCCGGGTCCCCATGAGCCGGGGTGGGTCCTTGGCTGACAGAGACCGATGAAGTCTCCAGGGCCCAGGGACGGTCTTTTTGGCAGTTGAGGATTAGGCAGGTTGAGTGAGCCCCAATAGAGCCGTTGCAAAGCCCCGCAGGAGTCTGCGCGTGACCCTCAGATGCCAATTTTGAAAGCCAGGAACCTTTGGGGGGGTCTCTAGAGGTCGATGTGCCCAGGGTGTGCCTACTCTCTCGGAATATGCCATAGTCTGAAAATCCTCTCTTGGTTTTATATGCTGCACCGATCCGTCGCCATGGTGCAGCGGCCCGACCGGTGAGCACACCGTGGGACGGTAAATGGAAGTGGTTATTTTGCTTAAACTGAATTCAAATGAGATGGATGTAGCATAAGAAATGCCAACTGCGTGGCACTTCGTGGCGTCGATTTTGCTACACACGTAAAAACTTAGCTGATCACCCCCCCCCCCCCGTTGACGGATAAATGTTATGTTCCACGGGTGTGACTTTGGCCCCCCCCCCCTTTAGCTAACGGCTGCGACCGCCAGTGACGTGGCACGTGAAAAGTCGGGGTGTTCAAGTCGTTCTGCTGGAGTAACAATTTTGAGAGGCCTATATCTCAGTAACCACTGCGGCGATTGACTTCCGGTAACTTTTGTAGAGTAGCTGTATCCCTTCTTACAAACATCGGATACTCTTGGTGCACGTGAGTGACCCCCGCTGCACGTGCAAAGTGCAAAAAAAAAACAGAAGAGGTGTTAAATTTGTTCCCATTACAGTAACTCAGCAACTACTGGGGCGATTTCGCTGAGACTTGGCATGCATGAAAGCACCCACCGGGTAATGCATATCCGTATGTCATGGTTGGGGTGCTATTGCACGTGCGCACGTGCAGGGGGCGTTTCCAGATCTCGAGAACGGCTGGGCCGATTGCGCTTAAATTGCGCCGATTGCACTTAACCTCCCCGGTGCACGGCATTCTACTTACTGGTCTCTTGCGAGGTGCCAAATTTGAGCGCAATCGGCCCAGCCGTTCTCGAGATCTGGAAGCGGCACCCTGCACGTGCGCACGTGCAATATGGGTTCCAACTGACTTTTGCACGGCACCCTTCTCACCGGTCTCTAATCGTGTACCAAATTTGAGCGCAATCGGTCCTGCCGTTCTCGAGATCTGGAAGCGACCCCTGCACGTGCGCACGTGCAATAGTACCCCAACCATGACATACGGGTAGGGTAGAGTGGGGTGGGTTGTATCAGTTCTTACTCCGAGACCCATAACCTTGTAACTATCCGTGATAAACTCATTATTTCCATACTATCTCCTTCCTTGATTCTTCTGCTTTTTTGTGCAAAGTAACTTTTCCGCTACCTCTACCAGTTTTTCTTC